ACCGCGCATCGACCTCTGCTGCGTGTCGGTCGTTACTCTCGCTGTACTATCTTTGTGCATAACTTTGAGGTATCCTCGTAATAACCTTATATTACTGTCAGTAGTAGTGTATATGCATTATTCAAATGTTGGTAATTTTTACATGGCATAATTGGCATAAACTTGACTGTTTGTAGAGATGGGAGCTGTGAAATTCTTGCATCACATTTGGATGGTTAGTTTATAACATTTTATTCACATTTCTCCAGCTATTATATTGATAGCACAGTATATCTAGGCAGCAAATTTAATTTTGTCATGACATACATTATTTAAAAGTTATAATTGTCTGTAAACAAAACAATTGCATCGTCCGGGTGTAAAGAGGTGGCATCCTGATTTCCCTTGTCAGCTATGCAGAGTTACATGATTGTTTGCACAAGAGGATTAGTGTTCACAGTACAATTCAGTGTACACAGTTAGTTAATAGAACTATGAAATAGAACTATCACTGATAGAACTAATTCCATCACTGCATAGCAAATGGATGCGTGTATGATAAATGGGTGATATAAATATATGATATACAGGAAATATGTGATATCATGCTGATTGTGCAACTAAATGAATAAATACATGATTGTGCAACTAAATAAATAAATACATTATTTTTGTTCTGAAAATACAAAATCAGAAAATACAACGTAACATTTTTGGATTGTTATGCAACAATCTCCTATTACATTAAACCTTGTGATTTTGATGAATAGAACATTAAATTTGAATACTGAAACTCTGAGGTGTTGTAAGGTTTGTAGAATGCATTGAGATTTTAAAAAAAATTGTTGGTTAGTTAATTCTCTATGTTTCTCCAGAGCATAAGTAAACTAATTTCTTCAGCCTTCATGATTCAGAGCAAGCCAGTGGGTCTCGTTCCAGGTTTTGCCCATTATTGCCATTTCTTCTTTAACTTTCCATCACCAAGTGCCCATTTATCTTCCTCTTTTCTTCCCAGGTGGTGCCTATCTGAGTGCTTGAATATCTGGTCTTATTTATTTGTATATATATACATGTCCCAACCATCACCAGCATCTCTGCATTACTTCATCATTGATGTTATTGATGCTTATGCATCTGCATCATGAAAAATGTGTTTTTATCCTAGCTGCATATACATAAATATGTAGTATACTTTATTTGCCAATGTGTTGCTTACACACTTATTGAATATATTATTCAGGTTGTGATGTGGATCAACCAAAATTTCTTACTACCTGAGGATCTGGCATGTGAAGGTTCTTTAAATGCTGGCTTCATGTCACTAAGGGGATCTGGACCCATGTTTGTCAAAATGGAAACCAATGGACAGGTATGCTAATAGTATTGTACATATGTAGGTGTGGTTTCAATATACTAACATTTGATTCTGAGTTTATCTCCAAGTGCTTAGACTACCAGTTAGTATTGTGTCATTATTGCTACATTTTTTACAGCTTTAATTTGCCAGGTACCGGTATAATTTTCCGGGTATCAATATTACTTTTGGGCAGTGTCCTCTGAGCAGATAATAATATCCCACACAGAATTAGTTCCACTTTTACCATACCATCTCATGCCTATTGTTAATTATTAAAACTATTTTCAAAGTTTTATAATTGTTTGTGCTCTATCAAAAACAACAAGATTAATATTTGTTTGTTGCCTTCTTACCTGTTAGCGAGAGATGAGCTACAACTGTATCATCCTCTATTTCATTCACTTTTTCTTTTATGATGACTTGTTCAATCTTTGTAATCAGAAGAAAAACACAGCCCATACATTTTATAAACTTACTCAACTTTCTGTCAATGTGAAATTGAGCAGAGGTGAATTTGTTTACATGAAATATGCATTTCTGCAAAAATCATTGTGACATACCGGTACTTTGTTTTATAGTAATGGGTAGCTTCATCTCTGTTTTAAGACTTGTAACATAAGATTATTGGGATTTGTGATTGTTTTCTTTATGTGACAATGCTGTTGTACACCACATGAAATGTTTGCCGTGTCATCTTCAGGTTATATTAAAGACTGATGACATGGACTTGGCTGGTGATATCATTCAAGCCTTGGCTAGTTTTTTGGGTATTGAAGATTTACAAGTCACAGCTGATTTTCCAATGCATATGGAAGAACTGAAGAACATCCTTGTAAAGGTTAGAACTTTTGTTCTCTTACTTAGGTACATCTGACATTCAATCATTCATTCATTCCTTGCCAATAGTCACAAAGTTATTCTGTAAAAATTGTACTTGTTTCAATGAAAATAGCAAGTATGTACTCAAACTAGTTAAAAACCTGCATGTTTATAACCCTAGATTATCATGTAAATTAGTAACAATACCAACTATCAATGGAATTCATTCCATTCCCAAAAATAAGACACCATATTGACGGTGGTGCTCCCATAATGCATCTCAATTATGTGAATAAGAGAATAATGTCTCTAGGAATGGAATGTATTTGATATTATCAATCTTTAGTGCCAGGGATGTCATCATTTCATTTCACAACCATGCATGCTGGTCTTCATATATTAAATAATGTTATTTTAGATCCATTTATAATTTGTCCAATTTGTTTTCACTTGTAAGAGCAGTCATGTGTATAATGTTCTGTAAACTGCTTTGATTTGGTAGGAAACAAATTTGATGACATTTTGTAGCATTGAATATCTCTTTGGGGTCATATGACACAGTGTGTCAGCAGCTTTCACAAAATATTGTCTTCAACAAAGCAATAAAATTATCATATCACAAACATTTCTAGCAACGAAAATTGAGCAGTTTACAGTATTTAACAGAAATTTCCCTCATAAAACCCTTATTTACATTTGATTGTCCTAGGTTGATGAATACCATTCTGTACGACAGAAATTAACAGCTGAGATGGCAGATCATTCTAATCTTATACGTAGTTTAGTTGTCAGAGCTGAAGATGCCAGACTAATGTCAGACATGTAAGTCAACATTCTGTTTTGTATCAAGGTCAATTTTGTTAAAATTATGACATTAATTACTTGTAAACATATTCAATTTTTATTAGTCTTAATTTTGCGGTTTTCCCCAATACTTTAAAATGACTAATTTTCACTGGGTTTAAATTTCACTGATTTCAGGCATATTCAGTGGGTTTTAAATTCACAGTTTTATCATTTAGATAATGTATTCTATGATAAATTTTACATACTCACTGGATTTTTATTTAGCGCATTTTCCAGTCAGCGAAATAAGCAAAATTAAAACCCAGTGAATAATTAATCCATTTACAGTAACCAAAATCATGCTGGAACATATAAAATTACAATAGAACTAAAATATGTGAATTAATGCCTTTACAATAATCGTTAGCTTCATTCCCTATGGTTGTCATGTTCTTTCTGAAAGTCAATAGCAATGCTTTTTAGGGCTTGAACTTCACAAAGGTACAATAGTTGCCTTGATGCCCTTTGGGTTGCCTTGATGCCCTTTGGGTTGCCTTGATGCCTTTTGGGTTGCCTTGATGCCCTTTGGGTTGCCTTGATGCCCTTTGGGTTGCCTTGATGCCCTTTGGGTTGCCTTGATGCCCTTTGGGTTGCCTTGATGCCCTTTGGGTTGCCTTGATGCCCTTTGGGTTGCCTTGATGCCCTTTGGGTTGCCTTGATGCCCTTTGGGTTGCCTTGATGCCCTTGATATTTCCTAAAATTATTCCTATAATGCAAGGCAATTTTATCAACTTTAGATGCTCTCCGAAGCCCGCAAATTAGGATGGCATTATAACTAAAATATTCTCAAATTTTCACAAAGCTAGTTGCCCATACTTTGGTTGTTTGTGTCGACCTACAAACAGTGGCAAAATTACATGGTTTTTCAGATAGAGGGCGCTTTACCATACCACACTTATGAATGAATTTGTTTAGAATGGTGTTTTCAGTTCAAAACCGTTCAATAATGACATTGGCTTGTCAGGGGAATCCTTGAATGTGGGCTGTCAATTCTGTTGATTTGGCCAATTTTGATGGAGGCTGTGATGGTACAGTAAATAATAATGTTATGCTATAATAGTAACCATGTAGTCATACAAATTATTTTCATAGTGGGAAATGTTTGTGACAGTATTGTCAAATATCTGTAATGTACCACCTGGTATTGAGGTATTAGGAAAAAACAAAAAATAGTGTACTG